CAGCAAAAGTTGTATTAATAAATAAATTAAATTGTGTTTAATATTTGCAAAAAAATTGATCTTTATTTGGGACCAATCGGACTGACAGTTCCAAGATTCTTTATTTTCTTATTTTGGGATAATGGGATATAATGGGATAATCTATTATTGAAAGAGTAAAGAAAATGTACTTTAATCTACTTAAGAATCTTTACAAGGCCTGTCCTATTATCCACAATCGGTCTGAGGGCTGAGGTTCTATCATGACCTTGGAACCTGTTGGGATCTGGAGGTCTGTCCACTTTCTCCACCAGAGGGCGTACTAGATCTCCTGGAGCCGGAGCTGATTACAACCACCTGTCGCTCATCTGCTCATCAGGAGATCTGTATTTAAGGAGGCAGAGGACTTCTCTCCAGTGCCAGAGTGCTTGCCAGTTACAATCAGCAAGCCTGAGCCAACCTGCCTGTCTGAATCTCTGACTCCCTGAAAACCAGAACCTGAACCTGATCTGTTTTCTCCTCTCTGCTTCCTAGATTGAACCTGTCTGAAACCTGGAACTCAGAAGAATATCTCTGCCGGTAATCCGCCTGTCTGTTCTCTGAAGAGCCCTGGAAAACTATTCCTGTCAAAGACCTGCCTGCCCGCTCTCTGAAGAAACCGGAAGGGAAACTCTAATCGGTAATCTGCCAACACTCAAACCAAGCTCTGCCTCCGCCTAGCCCTCAGCCTGCCGACAGCCTCCAGACCCTCAAGGTTCCCCCCTCAGCCGCTCAGCTCAACTCCTGTACAGGTACAGCCCTGCACACTCTAATCCTGCAAATTACCTGGTCCTCCACTAACTCCTCTGTCCCCCTCTGCAGTGAACCCACTCGTGACCAGTCCTGGACCTGTTAACTCTGTGTAAATTTCAGAATCCACTCGTGACCAGACGAGTTCCCCTTGGGATCTGTTTATTTATTGTATTCCATCTTCTAAATAAACGTTTGAACTTTTATCTTGTCTCGGAGTGTTCTGCATGTGGGTTAGGCACCTGAAGCCAAACATGACAGAACCAGAGGAAAGTATGAAAATAATAAACATCGCAAGGAGGGAGAACTAGAGGGATTTGAGTAAACTAACCCATTCATTTCAAACGATAAAGTACTTTTCACATTAAAGTACTCTAAAGTTAAAAACATTCACAAATTCTCAATTATATTTACATTTAAATTTTGATCTAATATGTTTAAGATCCAAGCCATCTCTCCAACTCAAGGCTTGGAGCCAGCTATAGCTATTAAACTTGTACTCAAGAGTGCAAAAAGGCCATCATGTCATAGAGGTATGTGTTCATTTTACTGTAAAGTGCATAAAGTTTCTATAACTGTAAAATAAATTGGTTTAAGGTTATTAAACCAGAGTGTACACTCACGTCATTTATACTGCCTCCTTTAAAGGAGTGATGCTGTCCACCAGAGAAATTAATTTGACACCTTTGATCTTAACAATGTGATTTTTAGCGTCCCTGAGACATGATGCAGCCACCACTGTGCTTTTAGATGGTAATAGTGTATGCAAGGAGTGTTAGTTTTCATGTGTCCATGTCCAGTCAAAACCTTAAATAAACATTTCATCTGATAATTTTTGCCTTTGTCCATAAACCTTTAGATTTATGCACAACTGATAACAGATTTTCCCACCTGAGCTGTGAATCTTTAAAGGAATATATCTTTCAAGGTTCAGAGCTCGGGATATATTTCTATAATCTTTATTCATTTTATAAGTTTTTCCCTGATGAGTCTTCTGTGTTATTTTTTTTTTTTCAGCTAATATTCTGGAGCCCTTGCTGCCTTCAATTAGAAGCAATAATTACAAATCTAAAAGTATAGAGGGTGAAATCAACCACCCGAATAGATATTATTTTGGAGTATAAAGAAGGCTGAACAAAAATACTTGCCCCAGTCTTTTGGTTTTTATTTCTAAAGACAATGTGAAGCCTGCTCTCCTTCGACTTTAAAAAGAGGCGCTCTGTTGAGTTAGTCTGTCCATTAAAATCCTTAGCAAATGTATTTAGGTTTGTGGCTGCAGCTTGGTGAAATATGAAAACATTTAAAGGGTAAAGAACGGTATCTGGAACCTGGTGGAATAAAAGCTAATAAAGGAAGGAAATGGAAAATATTAATTTGTTAAATTGTAGGGTCAGAGAGAAGGACAAGAAAGAGCATAAACCACAGTGATTTAACAAGCCATCCTCTTGTGTATGCATAGCATGTATGCAGCTTTAGCCTCGGTGAGGTCTCCCATGAGGGCACAAGGCTGAATAATACTAGAGGCCAAAGGTTAGCCTCTCCAAGCTCTGCACAATACATATTCAGCCCTTACAGACCTCTGACTGCACTACAGCAAGAGCTTAATTAAAAAGCAACAGTTCCAGTACACTGGGGTCTGGCTAACCTACATCCCCTACTAGCTTTGTCAATGCTGGATATTTGTGCTGAGGGATCTTGGGTGGGACTTAAAAAGCAAAATGAGAAACTGTATAAGTAAGTCTGAACTGCGATGTATACTTGCTGTTTGTAGCCAGCTGTTAGCCTGTAAGTAAAAGAGAATGTGCGACTTATGTGTGTCTGTGACTTGGAAACATGAATTATTCAGAGTCACCCCAGGCGCTGGTATGTGGCAAACCCCTGCCTTGTGTGCACACATCATGCTTGTGTATGGGCATGTGTGTGTGTGGGTGGATATGGCCACGGCGTGAGGAAGTCTGAGTGCCTCTCAGACATATGCTGTAGACCTAATCCACTATGACAAACCTCTGACATCATGAACAGCAGGCATGCTGGGCAAATCCACTCATCCATAATAAATGAGTCAGAGGAAGGGAGAAACATGGGGAGAGATGAGGGGAAACTTCAGGAGGAGCAAATAAAAATTCTGAAAAAAAATTGACTCAGCAAGTCTATTTTTGACATGCAGTCTGAGATCGTCATGCCCCACTAAAAATAAAAATGGATACACTGTGTAAAAAGCTTTCTACCTCTCTGCACACACATAAATATATATATATATATATATATATGTAGCTTCATGCTAATTTTCCAGGAGCTTTGCTAAACTGCCTAAATGTGTGTCCTCTCTAACAAGCCTGGTTTAAAAGGGTACCTCTACTTAAGCAGCCAAGTCCCAACAGAGACTTAGTGTTCTGAAATTTTATTATGAGGGTGCTGCAGTAAGGCTGTGGTCTATACATCGATTTGGGCGCTAAAATCCCATGAGTGCTTGGGGTTGTGGAGGTGGACGAACTGTATGAGCCCCGGAGAGTCTTTTACACACCGTTTGACTTCTACTGCTGATCCATTATTTAACAAAACACCTTTCCGCACATGTAGAGCATACTCACAAAGGCACACACATTACAAAAACTGTTTTGAGCAAGCACACATTTTTCTTTCATGTAACAAAAATAACTATGTCATCACACTTTTTGGGATTTCAATTACTGTTTTTGTTAAGTAAAGTGTTTCTGCTATTTAGCACATATATTACATTAGCACATATACAACTTTTGCTTTTACAAGTATTCATACATTGTCAAACTTTTCCTGTTCCTTCTACTTTGTTTAGATTATGTACTGTAGACCAACACACAATAGAACACCATTTTGAGATATGAGGAAATTCTATATTTAGTTTTTCAAATCTAAAGCTTTGGGCCTGAAAGTATATTGGACAACCTAATCAATATAATAATTTTAAATTAATTAGAATATCTGCCCCAATAAGTTTTTTTTTTCAGTTAATTTTTTTTTTTTTTTTTTAGTTAACATCATATAAGCTGGTCTTAAACATAATTTTCATATATTTCCTTTTTTTAAAATGTTCTTTTTGCTGTATTTATCTTATTCTATCATTTAAACCAAAAAGTTGTCTTTTCGTTAGCTGTTTAAAGAAAATTATTAAATCTAAAATACAGGTTTGAAAGCATTTCCTGTGTAGCTAGTCCATAAAGCTACTGAAATGTACCTTTGTTTTAATATAATCTATTTAATATTTTTTTAATAATATTGATAAAATATACTTACTATGATAGTATTTCTTTGCTTTTTGGGATTAAAACGTATTCTTATTCCTTTGTAATACAGCAAACTCTGGATTTAAACTGGTTGCAGCTCTAATCTCAGTCCCACTTTACAGCCCAAACGGTCTGACGGGCTCCACTGCTAATGCAAGAGGTATTCTAATAAGCATGCTTAGTCAGACCAAAACACCCGGAGAACTATTCCAAACTCTTTTACTTTTTGGTCAGTTACATACAGATATTTTCTCTCTTTTCTTCTATAATGGGGAGGAAACTCAGTACAGACAAACTTATTTTTCTGCATTTAATGTGCATTTAATATATGTGTTAAGCATACTCAATAATAATGAACAGCATTGATGTATAAATATAGTTAGCTATTATTATAGTCAGGGCTTCTAGAAAAACTGGTGGCAGGATGGAGAGCATCAGGCAACATCAAATCTCAAAGAATAAAAAAAAAAAAAAAGACTTTGACTTTAAAGAGGAGAAACTAATCTTTTATGGAGATGAGTGAAGAACCTGCACTCTGGTGCTTTTAACTTGAACACTGGTTTAAATCAAGGTTGTCTGAGTAAAGTGAACCGATTACAACTGCTACATGGGTAGAACACTGTTTCATATAATTATTGGTTTTAATTGGCTTTTTAACTTTGTTGAACTTTGCGGATCACAGCTTAGTTTGTGGTTGAAGTCAGAATTAAAAAAAGGTTTAAGAGATATGAATAATTCATCAAGGTTAAACAAAACAGTACTGCTTTGAAGTAACTATTTTCTCTTACTTTCCTAAAAATTCCCCTTTAAAATACAAACAAAACTAATATTAATGTAGAATTTACAAATTGGACAAACATTTAGGAATTTCTATCTAAAAACAACCCCTGTCTCTCGTCCTTTTAAACATGGGTTGTTCAGAGTTCAACGATTAATAAAAAATTCAACCAGCACCAAAGAACAACTTGCCATTCGTTTTGACCGGGCATCTCGCGAACCCAGACAACTGGGTTTTCTCCTACAAAGCCCATGTCGTCGTGGGAACTGGAGGACGAATGGTCAGACAGGTGGGCCGGAAGCGGTGGTGGCCTATCGTCCTCAATCATCACTGTGTCATCTTGTGGCATGTTGACAGTTGGAGAGAGCTGGAAGTGACCTGACAAGGAGACAGAAAAAGGGAAAGATTAAGCAGGAAGCATAAGTTACTTTAAAAGTATGACTTTCAAACTTTCAAAACTGCATCAATATTCCATTCCATGCAGTCAGGGGGGCCTGATAGCACAATATCTGACAAATATGTGATCACGCTGAAGCAACTTGAGACTCAGCCTCCTTCAAAGGCACTGTGTGATAAACATAATAATATCTTGCTTTACAAATTGCCAAGATAAAGTATCTAACCAACGGATAACTTCAGACAAGGACGTTAACGCTGTGTGACTGCACAATGAACATTTCATATAAGCCTGTTTCAAGGACATTAGCAGAAAAAAAAAAATTCAAACAAGTGCTAATCAGGGGAACATTTGCAATGCTAAACACACAGAAAACTGAACCAGCATGTAAAAAGCACAGTTTCCATCAATGCAGATATCAAAGAGACAGAGAAAACAGCAATCTCTAGCTTGTTTTGCCATCATCAGTGAACGACTGGTGAGAAAAAGGAAAATGATAAAATTTTCAAATCAGTAAACATAACAGATTGAATAACTTTCTTCAGTGTTGCTTTAATGAAGCACTTGAATCAAACTCAGGTGCAGGTACAGTAGCAGCCATTTAAAATTGCCCCTTCCAGTCAAACGCCCGCCAAATGACAGCCCACTCCCCTGCAACTCCCAGCAAAATCCCCTCCATGAACCCAACATATTTTTTTTACTCTGACTCCACCGTTTCACTGAATTACAGGGTCTGACCAGGAGATGATGCTTCCCTTAATATCTTTATGCTTACAAATTATGACAAAAATAATTTTTTTGTACAAGATTGATGTTAAAAATAAACTTTTGTAGGATTAAATATCTGATAAAATATAAATGATCAGAAGGGATTTACTGTTTTTACTGCATCAATCATTGAGTGTAAACTAAAGACTGACATATTGGATTCAGGAGTCAAGTTTTCGTACCTAAGGGAAATTTTCTGAGAAGTTAGTTTGGAAATGTTGACTTCTGTTCAGTGTATATTTAGTTTATTACATTTCAGAAATAGATTGGCGGATACATTGCAAATATATGTTAAGTTAAACATTTTCAACAAATTTTTAACCCACAAACACGTCCCCAGACAGTAGAAACACATACATAAAAAGTAAGGTTAAAAAAAATTAGATATAACAAATTAATGATGACATCACAGATAACTTAAAAATATGGTAAATCAATTCTGGGGCTGCTCCAAAGATGGTGTAGAAGGGGTTTAGTTTCATTTCACATTGCCAAGCTTCAGATATAGTAGAAAATAAATCATGTGTAGATTTAATGTATCAGGTAGACTTCTACACCTGTCACATCCTGGCTCTATTTATTAGGGTAAATATTTCCCAGTTTCCACTTCTGAATATAAATGTAAGACAATGTAGAACCACATTCATCAACTAACTATACATTATTTACATAATGCTTGAGGTTTTTGTCACGATTTGTTTGGAGGTTTTTATGAGGACCCAAATGCAGAGGCTGACAGGCAGGGGTGAGTTCTGAAAAGGTTTAATGGAGATCAAGCAGCAAAAACAGGAATCCAAAAATCCAACTTAAAAATGTTAAACAAAAACAGGTATCCAAAAAATGCGACATAAAAATCAAAAACAAACCAGAACCATAGAGACATCAGGGGAAAACCATCAAGGAGCCAGGGTGAGAAGAGGTAAGACGAGGAACCAGCAAAGAGGGACTGCAGAGGGACTGCAGAGGGAGTTTATTTATGGCTGACTGAACAAAGGTAGGGCTAATGAGCTGATAGGGAGCAGGTGTGACTAGTGCTGATGAGGAAGCCAAGGGAAAAGAACACAAGGGGGAAACAGAGGACAGACAGAAAAACCTAAGCAACTTAAATGAATCCAGACACACCAATAAAGCTAGAATATGTTGGCCTGCCAATCCACCATAAAACAACAGAAGAAGAAGAATAAAGCTAGAAAACAGGGGAAAAACCTGTCTAAACTTGAAACTGAAAACTTAAAGAAAAACAACAGAACCAAGATCGTTACAGTTTTATAGAGTAATCCTAAAAAGAGCAACCAAACCCACACAAAATGTCTTTTTCAAACTCAAAATGACAAGATCAAATGTATAACAGATACGTAAGTCAGTTTTCTAAGCTGTGGAAAATATATTTTCTTTTTTCCAGATGTTTAAGGATTGCAGGTTGTTAGGTTGTTAGGGTGAATGCACAATAAAACATGCTCCGGCTTTGCATACACACTTAATCTGGCCTACATTCCTAACTTAGGCCATTTGCTTCATGTCTGTCCTTCCTTTTTGCCTACTTTTCTGCTCTGTTCAAAAATGCAACTAGTGTCAGACATTTGAATTCTGTTAGCATTGACCATTCAATACAATATGTATACAAAGAGTGGTGCCTTTGGTATGCTAGCATTGCTACTGAG